GAAGGCAGTTGGTTACAACCAGGCCCGCTGAGGAGGACAGTTAGGGTGACCAAGCTGGCAGGGGAGGGCAGTTAGGGGCAATTGGGCCGTTAAGGGAGCAGTTAGGCATTGGTCAGGCTGGCAGGGACGTGGTTATGGGATGATCAGACTGACAGACAGAAGCAGTTAGGGGAAATCAGGCAGGCAGGCAAGCAATTGGGATCCAGTAGTCCTGCATTGTGAGAGGGATGTCCGACTGCTTGTTTAGGCCCTATCCCTGTTTGTGGGGTCAGACATAAACAGGCAGTTGGACATCCCTTGAGGGCTCCCAGATTGGAGAGGGTGCAGACTGGGCTGAGGGACACACACCCCTCCTGTGCAAGAATTTCATGTACTGGGCCTCTAGTATTAAATATATTTTGAGAAACAATGCCTCAGAATTATTGGTCACTCTTAGTTATATGAAGGTAAAAAAAAATAGGAATAAGATAAATGATAAATGCAGCAATGGCTAGAACAGATAATACAGCATGACAAAGTTATGTTTATCTCAAACTTGCAATGTTGGTTTAACATTAGGATATTCATAATTGAATATCAGACATTAATAAGATAAAGAAGTAAGAAAGGGTAATTATCACAAAGATTCTGGCGATAAAAGGCATACAGTAAAATTCAAAGACCAATGAAGATAAAGAACACAAATAATTCTCAGCTAACTGGGAATACAGAAATACTCCTCTAAATTGATTCTAGGTATTTAAAAAACTACTACAGTGAATGTGCTACATAATAGTGAGACATTAAAAACCTTTCATTTTAAATCAAGTGGGAAAGATGATTCATAAACAATCACTTTTGTTCAGTTTCTGAGTTTCCTAGGCATTGTATTAAACTGAAATAAACACATCTTACCTAATAAAAGTGAAACATGCAAATTAACCATCACTCATCCATGCCCACAGCCCATCAGAGTGATTATGCAAATCAACCCAACAAAGATGGAGGTTACTTTGCATATGCACACTCAATCCCCAGTGTGGGGTGGGCAGGAGCAGTGATTCTCTCATCATTGATGTTTCCATCTCTCTCTCTCTCCCTTCCTCTCTGAAATCAGTAAAAATACATTTTAAAAAATAAGCTCTGCACAGCAAAAACAAAACAAAACAACAGAACAAAAAGGCAACCAAACGAATGGTAGATGATATTTGCAAATTACAGCTCCAACAAGGGGTTAATATAGAAAATACTAGAGGCCTGGTGCACAAAAATTCATGCACTGGAGGGGCTTCCTCAGCCCGGCCTCCCCCTCTCACAGTCTGGAGCCCTCAGAGAATTTCCTACTGATGGCTTAGGCCCGTGGGGAGGTGACTGCAGTCAGGCCTCTCTTTGCATGAGGTGACTGTGCTGATCAGGGGAAAGCACTGCCCCCATCACCCCACTGCTACTGCCACTGCTGACCGCTGCGGTTCTGAGGCTTGAGCCTTGGGTCTCACAGTCACTGGGGCTCACAGCTGCCTGAGCCTTGGCCTTGCAGCAACCAGTACTCACGGCTGCCTGAGCCCTGGGCCTCAGGCACCAGGGCTCACAACTGCCTGAGCCCATGGCTGCCTGAGCCCTGGGCCTCCCAGCCACTGTGGCTTTGTCCAAATGGACATCTGGAAGATGCCCACTCTAATTAGCATATTACCCTTTTATTAGTATAGATACTAGAGGCCCTGTGCACAAAACTCATGGAGAGGGGTGTGAGGGGGCGTCCCTGAGCCCGGCCTACACCCTCTTCAATCCAGGACCCCTCTGGGGATGTTCGATGTGGGGTCAGGCCTAAACTGGCAGTCTGACATCCCTCTTGCAATCCAAGACTGCTGGCTCCTAACTGCTCACCTGCTTGCCTTCCTGATCACCCCTAACCACTCTTTTTGCCTGCCTGATTGCCCCTAACCACCTCTGTCTGCCTGTCTGTTCACCCCTGACTGCCTCTGTGTGCTGGCCTAAATGCCCCTAACCCCTCTGCCTGCCAGCTTGATCACCCCTAACCACCTCTGCCTGCTGGCCTGATTGCTGTCCCATAACCCCTCTGCCTGCCAGCCTGATTGCCCCTAAGTTCCTACCACCTCTGCCTCAGTTCCTGCCACTATGGCTTTGTCTAGAAGGAGGACTGGATGACTGGAAGATGTCCAGTCAACCTGGTCTAATTAGCATATTACCCTTTTATTAGTATAGATAAAGAACTCATATAACCCAACACTAAACAAGCAAATAATCCAGTTTAAAAATGGGCAGAGGACCTGAACAGACAACTCTTCCAAGAAGACATACAAATGGCCAACAGATACATAAAAAGATATTCAACCTCACTAGCTATTTGGGAAATGCAAGTCAGGACTACAAGGACATACCATCTCACATGTTAGAAACAGTTCCCACAGACTCTGAGAACAGAGAGACAGTACAGGGGAACAGTGTGCAATGATGTTCTCTCTGACAGATGGCTGGAGGTCAGGGCATGTTGGTCCCAGACTCTGTACCCATCACTACCTAATAGCTTTTGAGTGAGTCCCAGGGCTCACTTCAGCCTTAACACAGAGCCACACATTATTGGTTCTGGGCATAGGATTTGAAGTGAGCTTGGTCAGTGTTTGAATTCTATTGATAAATTCTGTGGTCGGGATCAGGTATCTTTGACCTCATAGTGACTCACATACATTTTTGTTTCTTAAATTGAGGATTGTAACAGTCTGTAATTCATGAGTTAATTTCAAGAATTGAGTTAATATATGGGATTACTCTGAAACCCCCTGGAGAAATACCTGTGACTCAATAAGCCTCATAAGTTCTTAGCGTTACTAGGTCATGCACTTAGCACAATATCTGGTGTTTAACAAGGAAAAAAATAGGTGCTATTTATATTTGTTGCTACAAGTCCCCTGGAAAATAAGAAAGAAAACAGATGGGTGTATGGAAGAAGCTGTTAATATTTGACACGATTCAACATATTTCCATAACTTTTAACTCCACAAGCAAGGAATAGAAGGAAACGTCACTAACCAACAGAGACATGCAAATAAAAATTACAATGTGTCATCAATAAAAAACCATTACAATGTGTGTCCTAGCCAGGTGGCTTATTTGGTTGGAGTGTCGTCCCATACACCAAAAGTTTGTGGGTTCGATTCCCATTCAAGACAGATACTACCTTAGTTGCAAGTTTGATCCCCAGTTTGGGTGCATGTGAGAGGCTACCAATTGAGGCTCACATCCATGTTTTTCTCTCTCTTTAAAAATATAAAACCTTTTTTTTTTAAATGAGCAAGGATATAAGAGATCAGAATATCTCAATTTCACTTCCATTGCCACACATGAAACATCTTAAAGGCTGTGAGTTATAGGATTGTCCTGACAGTGGACCACACAGTGACAGCAATGACTCCCCAGAGGAATTCACATGAGGCCTGGTTGGAATTATCAGCAGTGAATGGATTTTTACTTATAATTTGCACTGAGGCAATATGGAGTAATTAATGTACAACACAAAAACCTAGAGAATATTAAATATTAGAACCCAAAGGAAGCTGGTTTCTAAAAGTCTAATTCCCATAATCTTCCTGTCCCCCCAAACCACCAGTGTTGTCAGTTTCAGTTGTGATAAAAATAAAATACTCTAGTGAATCCACGTATGAGAGAGACAATTGATACCATCTTATTTCTATAGATGCCAAAAACAAAACAACAAAAACCTGCCAAATCCTTCCACATGTTGATTTACATATGTTGGCAGGAGTGTTTGTCAGGGCCAGGGGTGGATATCAACACAACTTAGGAATGAATATAGAGTAAAATATAACCAAGAAACTTTATGAGCATATTTGTGGCTACAATCTCCAATAAAGTAGAAAATCCAATAAACAAGAAACTTATTAAAGAGACGCTCCCACAATGATAAAAGGAGCAATCCACCAGGGAGACCTAAATGTGAATGCACCAAACAACAGGGTCAAAAAGTATACGAAGCAAAAAACTGCTTCGTATACTTTTTGACCCTGTTGTAATACCTTAATAAAGAAATTTAAAAATATATATAAAAAATTAAAAAAGTATACGAAGCAAAAACTGATGGAGCTGAAAGGAGAAATAGCGAAGTCCATAATAATAGTTGGGCTTCAATACCCCCTCTCAGCAAGTGATAGAATTGCTAGAGAGAAAATCAGTATATAGATCTTAAGATTTAACAACTCAATGAACTAACAGGATTTAGGTGACAAATAGACCACTCCTCCTAACAACAGTAGAGTACAGTACAAGTGTCTATGTAACATTCACCAAGATAGCCATCTCCTGTGCCATCAAAACAAACAAACAAAAAAAACTCCACAAGTTTAAAAATAATTGAAATTACACAGAGTATGTTCTCTGACCACAGAAGGAGCAAATTGGAGATCAATAACAGAAAGAGAAACGAATCCCTGGAGATTTGGAAATGGTAGTTGAAACAATTCCAGTTTGTCATTCAGACCCTTGTTACAGAAGAGCTGAGGTTAGAAGAGCTGTCTCCTGAACTCAAAGGCATTTCAGACTGGACAAAGAGAAAGCTCACTCTGGACATTTCAAGTAGAGTTTTGTTGAGGGCAAGGCAAGAGAGAGGAGGACAGTTTAGGAGGCTGGTATCTCTGCTCCATCTGACATTAAAGCTTGTACTACAATGGTAAAGGAAGCACAGCCTTCCTGATGTATGGCTGGTGTCCAATCTAAACCAAGAATGCATACACCTCTTTTCTTTATAAATCCTCCTCCATTAAAAATAAAAGGTTCAACAGTTACCTCCTTATCCTCCCCTATCCTCTTCTCTTTCAGCTCTTTCTCCTCCTCCCTCATCCTGCACCATTTCCCCCCTGATAGCACCATCTGTAGGATAAGGCTCTCCTATCTGGACAGGCAGAGGATTTTCCTTTCTGGGGTTTGTGGGATTGGTTTCTTAGGGCAGGTTGGCACTTTATTGCCCTGCCATGGTGTTAGCCTAAGAGATGGTACATGGTAAGTGGACACAAATATGTCTTCAAACTTATATTTTTGTTCCTTCTTTCAGAAGACGATGATGGTAATGCACCTCAAGAAAGGAAGAAAAGTTGGAATTCTTTGAGACGACATAATTTTGGCAACAAGACCCATCGTTATCAACATGGTGGATATGAGCTTCAGCCTCCACACCTCCTGAAGGATGATGGAAACATGGAGATGAGGGGAGTCCAGAGGTACCCAGTCAGACAGTAAGTGACCAGGCAGCCTGGTTTGCATGTAGCATCCCATGGGGCTGTGCAACTATTTCACTGTCTATGGTTTTCCTTTTCTTCTCTCACTGGAAAACTGAAGAATGTTAGAAGTGAAATCATGGTTGATCAGTCCTAATTGTAGTCCTGGTGTCAGAGATGAAGGATGTATAGAAGACTTTCTTAGCATTCATGGTTAACCTTTTCTTCCCCATAGCAACACTCACTATAGGAGAGGAAAGATCAGGAGGAGAGTGCAATTGTATAGAAAAGGTTCTCTGCTTGTTACTCTGTGGAGTAATAAAACACATCTCAGGAGTGAAGTGGAGAAGAAGATAGAAGCTCAAACCCTGAGGAGTTGGTTCAAGGTCACAGTGAGTATCCTGAAAAAAATGTATGGCATGTGCAGAAGAGAAAGATCAGGTGGATTGTGTTGGTCTCATATAGAGACACTCGGTACTTTGCTGGGGAGAGTTTCCAATTTGTCCTTCTTATTAACAATTTAAGGGAAAATTCAGAGAAGCAACATAAGGAAACAGGCTGACTATATGATAAACAGAGGGGCTGTCTAAAAGGAAAGGTGGAACTACTGTCAAGAAAATGGAGCAAGTCCACACTAGATGTCTCAGTTTGGCTCAAGCTGGATGTGGGTAATGGGGGCTTGAGTCTGTGAAAAACTTCTCAGAGGAGCAAGCAGTGTCGTAGACAGGATCTCCTGGAACTTTATAAAAGGAAGAAAATGTCTAACTCAAGTTGTTTATGGGGAGGAGAGCTTCAAATGGAGAGATAATAGCCCAGCCCATGTTGTTCAGTTATTAAGCATCGACCTCTGAACCAAGAAGTCATGGTTTGATTTGGGTCAGGGCACATGCCTTGGTTGTGGGCTCAGTCTCCAATGTGGGGCATGCAGGAGGCAGCCAATCAGTGATTCTCATCATTGGTGTTTCTGTCTCTCTCTCCTTCTCCCTTTCTCTCTGAAATCAATAAAAGTATATTTTTAAAAATAAATGGAGAGATAATGGATTTAAGAACTCCATATTTGTCACAAACGTAAGAACCATGTGAGTGGTCTTTACTTTAGAAGCCCTTTAAAGTTCAGTAGAAGGTAGGAAAAGAACACTGTGTTGGGTCTGTTCTCCAGCCTTCTTTCATGTTGTCCCTCCTGATTCCATGCCCTTTTCGCCCTTAGATTCCCTATGGAAGAAAGTATGACAGGACATGGCTAATGGATTCTATCCAGAACCACTGCAGTGTCCCCTTCACTCCAGTGGACGTAAGAGAGGATGGTGAAGCCAGATGAGGGGGTAAAGGGAAGGCGGAGAGATGGCTCAGTGGGTTTTTTGGCTTCTGACACTATGGTTGTTGCTTCAATCCCTATAGTTCCACTACGTGCAAAACAAGGCCCGGTTCTTTGTTCAGGATGCTTGCACTGCTTCTGCATTGGAGGATGTCAGCAACAAGATTTATGATGAGGAGAACCAAAAGGTATGTGTCGAGGTCTTTATCTGTCCTTAGTTCCTGTGCAGGAGGACAGACAGGAGTTGGTTACTTTCTGTAGGACGAGGATTTGTGGTGCTAACCCATTCTCTTCTTCCTGCAGATAGCTATCTCTGTCAGTACTTCTGATGTACCCTACTCTGTGCGGGATAAGTTGGAGCCAGAAATAATGGAACAGCTAGAGGTAATGCAGACTCAAGGGTACATGTTTGCCCTAAGATCCCCCCCCTTTCCTCCTCACCCTGATTTCCCTGTCACCACCACAGCCTCAGACCCTCTCTCCCCATCTCACTCTGCAGCTGGCCATGTACAAACGATATGATGTCTCTCAGAAAGCTCTTGATCTCCAGTGGCTCCGCTATGACTCAGGTATGTCTGACAGCAGTAATTCTAGGGCACTTGAGGGCAGAGGGTTCTGCCTGGGAGGGAGACTTAGGGATGAAAACAAGGGAGGTTTTGGTGCTGGTCCTGGACCTCTCTCAGCCTTCTTATTTCCTATTCTTGGCTTCCTGAAGACTTGGTGGACCATGGTGTTGATATAATCCTGAACAGAAGAAACTGCATGGCTGCCACCCTGCAGATCATTGCAATGGACTTCCCTGAGGTGAGGCCTTAGACCCAGTGCTGGTGTTACAGTAGGGGTTGGGACAGATGGGACAGAGGGCAGATTTGTCTCTCAGGTCCTAGATAGTAAGGATCACTCTGACTCTTCTACCCCAAAGCTGTTGTCTCTGAACTTGAACAACAACAGACTGTGCCAGCTGGATGGCCTGTCTGATATTGTACAGATGGTACCCACAGTCAAGATTTTGAACCTTTCCAAAAATGAGGTGAGAAGAGGGACTGATCAAAGTTGGGTTGAGAGTGGGTGGTAGTGTTCATCAGAGTGATGACAGGAGGTAAGCGAAGGTACCTGTGGGGAAGGGAGTGGGCTGTGGGTTCAGGGGCTGGTATGTCCCTTTTTCCTCGGACTATTTTTAGTTTCCCCCCATATTTCTCAGCTTAACTCTACCTGGGAGTTGTGCAAAATCAAAGGCCTGCAACTGGAAGATCTGTGGCTGGAAGATAACCCTCTGTGCAGCACCTTTCCAGACCAGTCCACTTACATAAGGTCAGTGTGAGCCCCTCTCATCATTTATGGGGTCCTTTGACTCCTGGGAGCATAAACTAGCTCTGACAGTGCCACGTCACAGATGGTGGCAGCCCTGGTCCTCTGGTAGGAGTAGAAGTCCTACCTTCTCTTCTCTGTAGCCCTCACCTATACTTAGAGCTCTCCTACCCTTTCTCTGAACTGCTCACCAGCTCTCATGGTCTGGGGTATGGCTCCTGACTCTGCATATAGTTTTCTCTAGCATGCCCACCAAGAATGCGCTCCAGGATACAGGGCTGCCCGCTCACCAGGACTAGGAGTGTTGAGCCTTCAGGCAGATATTGCTGATGTGGGGTGAGAAACATCCTCCCATCACAGATGCATGTGAGACAGTCCTTCCTGCTTCTGAGAGGAAACAGAGTATCCCTAACTATTTTGGGAAGAACCTTCTTTCCCTTGCATATAAAGGTTCTCCACTAGAATCCCAGGTGAATGTGGCGACTTTTCTGCCCCATGCTAAGGGCCCAGGCTCCGGGTGGCAGTCATCGCGACTTGTATTCCTTTAGGTACAATATCAAGGAGGGGCCATTCTTGGTAGAAGCCAGAGTTGGGGGCCATAAGTGAGCCACGGTCAGTGAGCAGAGGGCCTCTTGCAGCAGTGGAAGGCAGAGGGCAGAAGGGGATGAGGAGACAGAAGGGCAGTCCTGTCAGGTCACTGGACCTCCCTCCACATATCACATCACCTGTCTGGTCCTTCAGAGGACCCCTGGGTAACCTTAAGCAGGTAGGATTCCTCAAAAGAAGAACCAATTAAGACAGACATAGGTACACAAGGGCCATGAGGAGAGAAGGTGATGAACATAAGAGGGGGCCACAGACCCTTGACCCTGTGCTCAGACCTTGACCCTGGGGACTGATCCTTACTCTTTCTGAGGAAGGTTTCCTGATCCCGAGGGTGGTACATTTCCCATGCCCAGCTCAGATTGACAGGTGACAAAAGCTCAACCAATATCCCATGGCCCTGAGGCCAACAGGTGCATGTTTTCCATTCCTACCTGGAGACCCAGGGCCAGCCAGGGGCAGTTGAAGGAAAAGGTTGCCGCAAGGGAACCATGTCCCTTCTATTCTCTCTCCTTTCCTGGTCCCACCTCCACTGCCAGGGCAGAGCTTGTTTCCCTTCCCTTTTTCTGTCTCCTTTGTCTCTACTCTTCTGTGCCTTCCCAATCTCTGCTCCTACCTTACTCTGCTATCTTCATTCCCTTCCTTTTCCCTCCCTCACTTCCTTCCTTACCCCAGAGTCCTGGGCCTTCTCTGGGCCATGTCCTGTTCCTGACAGGATGCTGGACCCCCAGTGAGGTGGCAGAGTCTTTAGCCCCCATCACATTCCCTCTTCTGGAGCCATCAGTGGTGGCCTAGAGGAAGGAAAAGGAGGCAGGGAGAGGTAAGAAGCCCTGGAGTCTGAGATCCAAATGCTGTGTCTTGTGGCACTAGAGAAGGAATAACCAGGAGAATGGAGAGGGAGAAAGAGAGAGAAAGGGAAGAGGTGAGGAAGGGAAAAAAGAGTAATATGAATATGAAGGTGTGGAGAGAGGTGAGAAGACTGTGTGTTTCAGAGATTCCATATGGTAGATGGCTAGTGGTCAACAGGGAAGTTAACCCAGAAGCTTTGAAATCAGAGACTGAGGAGGGTAAAGGAAGCTGCTGGGTGGGCAGAACACCTGTCTCTGTTCATGCCATCAGTGTTTTAAGTAAATGGAAGCATTGTAACCCAAACTTATCAACCACTTCTTTCTATTTTTGGATTTGGACAGCGCCATCAGGACATGTTTCCCCAAGTTGTTACGCTTGGTAAGTACCTACATTCATTGTTTTCTCTTGCTAATATCAACAACCTCCACACCTGCCCTCAAGCCCTTTGTATCTTGCCTGTATTACATGTTTCCATTAGACTCTTACCTTTTGGGGAACATAGATTTTTTTTAAAAAGACATGAATGTGATCTCTGTGAAAATTGTATATACAAGGAGAGAGGAAAGGAGAGACAGCAAAAGAAGGAAGGAAGGAAGAAGGGAGGGAAAGAGAAACAACATACAAAAACACACACATACACAAGTTGCATAAAACAGTAGACTTCCAGGACATTATGATGCAGACACCCATTGGAATCTTGCCCATAGCTATTTCACTCTTTTTAAAATATATTATTATTTGTTCTCAGAGAGGAAGGGAGTAGGAAAGAGAATAGAAACATCAGTGATGAGAGCAAATCATTGATCGGCTGCCTCTTGCACACCCCACATTGGGGATCAAGCTGGCAACCAGGCATATGCCCCGAACAATAATCGAACCATGACCTCCTGGTTCATAGATTGACTCTCAACCACTGAGCCATGCCAGCTGGGCAGGCTCTTTTGCTTTTGACCTCTGACCTTCACCATCTCCTGGTCCCTCCCTCCCTCCCTCCCTCCCTTTTCTTTCTTCCTTCCTTCCTTCCTTCCTTCCTTCCTCCCTTCCTTCCTTCCTTCCTCCCTCCCTCCCTCCCTCCCTCCCTCCCTCCCTCCCTCCCTCCCTCCCTCGTCTCTCTCTCTCTCTCTTTCTCTCTTTCTTCCTTTCTTTCTTTTCTTTCTTTCTTTCTTTCTTTCAAATATATTTTATTGATTTTTTACAGAGAGGAAGAGAGAGGGATAGAGAGTTAGAAACACTGATGAGAGAGAATCATTGATCAGCTGACTCTTGCACACCCCCAACTGGGGGTGTGCCCACAACCAAGGTACATGCCCTTGACCAGAATCGAACCTGAGACCTTTCAGTCCGCAGGCCAACACTCTATCCACTGAGCCAAACCAGTTTCGGCCACATCCTTTCTTTTAATCACCAAGACCACCTCCCTGGTCTGTACTGCTAACATATCTTCCCTTCTCCAGGATGGACATGATTTATACCCACCAATTATCATTGACATTGACAGACCCTACTTAATAAAGCCTTTAATAAAGGTGAGAAAGATCAAAATTTGGGTTATTGTAAGGGAGGCTTTATCAGCCAGGTGGTCTCAAATATCTTTTTCTTTTTCAAATGTCTTTGATTCCAGGATAACTATAAAGGATCTGATGCTCTGAAGAATCAAGTCCTGCATTTCCTGCAGCAGTAAGTACTCCTGGAACTACCAGGATTGTGAAGGACTAGGACAGTTCAGTCCACTCAAGCACAGGTCTGCCCTGAGAATTTTCAAGTCATCCTTGAGGTCCAGTCCATAGAGGTATACTATCTTCATTGTCCTCACAGATATTACTTTATCTATGACTTTGGAGACAGACGGAATCTCCTCAGTGCTTATCACAATGAGGCCTGCTTCTCTCTGACTGTTCCCTACATCCCAGACAACCCAGCCCCGTGAGTATCACAGCTCAAACTCTTTTTCTGTTGGGGGGCAGGTGTTTCCAGCAGAAACCTTTCAGCTCATGGAAACACCCCTATGGCCAGACCTCCACATCCTATTCCTCTTTTTCTCCTAGATACAGCTTGTTTCAGTACTTCAAGAATAACAGGAATTTGAGGAACCTCCAGGACCCCAACCCCAGTGCGTGTGGGTGGGGAAGATTGGGCAGGGAAAAGGGGGGCCATGAAGGGTCAGTCATAGGCCCCAGGGAATGGCAACCCTGACTTTTGCTGTCCTTCCCTCACAGATCCGCCTTGTCAGCTGCTGAAATATACAAAACATGACATTGTGAGCACCCTCTGTATGTTTCCCAAAACACAGCATGACCTCAACTCCTTTATCGTGAACATTTGGTTCCAGTCAGAAAGCATCCTGTTCATCCCCCAGGTAGGCCCAGAAAGATGCAGGTGGGTGATAGGTGTAGATCAAGCATGTTAAACTTGCGACCGGCTGAGCAACTGCACTCCTCCGTTTCAGGAAAGCCTGTTCTTCTTTCGTGTCCATGGGATATTCAAGGAAGGTAAGTGTGTGGAGTCCCCTCCCCAGATGCCCTACTGCTACCTCCCTCTGGCTGGGCTCCCTCTCAGAACTCTCTCAGCTTCCCAGATCCCTTCCATTTTATTACTATCCCGTGTGTGTTCTGCTTCCAGTCTGTCCCCAAACCATCTGGTCTGACCTGTGTCCATGTCTGTTAGCCCCACACAGCGGTGGCTTTGGGTACACAGGTGTGGGGTTTAATGTCTGTCATCCCAGATCCTGATTGTGGGAACATGGGCCCTTTACCTAACCAAATGCAACTAATAATACTCACCTCGTGGGTAGCTGCAAAAAAATGAATCAAATGAACTTGTGAAACTGTTGTCCCAAGGTCTCCCATATAGTCGGGTCTGTGTCAATGGGAGCAGGTTGCTGCTGTTGTTGCCATCCCCATTCCAGACGCCTGGACTCCCAGTAAACAGTTATGCCCTTGAACATGAATATGGAGTCCCATCATGACTGGGGAACACTGTCTGAGAGTGTAAAGCATTGGTAACTCCAAGATGGGTGTTGATGTTTGTTGTTGAAGGAGAAGGAGAGTTTCAGAATTCTATGTGTGCCTTCACCCGGACCTGCATCGCTACCCCTGCCAACAATTTCAGGTAAGTACTGTGTTATGGGTGGGAACATGCAGCCCAGACTGGACTCAGGGCTAGGAATGTGGCAATACATGAACTTGGGGCTTTCTTAGTGTTGTGGAAAGCTAAAAGGTATATCTAAGGAACAGTCCTCCATGAGGGTCAAGAGCATGAGCTCTGGAGTTAGAACACTGAAAGTGTTTCATGATTCTTTCAGGTTCTCTTCATGGTGCCAACACTCACTAGACTTACTTAGTGAAATTGCATGACCGCTCTCTGACACTATGTCTTCCTCTGAAAATAGGATTAGACTACATTCTCCCTTGAGCTGTTTTACAGAGTAAATGCAATGGGGTTAGGGGTACAAATCTAGTGAAGTTTGTTGACGATCTCTCCAAGGGTGTGGTTGTGAGAGGGACAGAGCTACCAGGTAAGTAGTCTGGAGAGCAGATAACAGGTAGGTATGGGAGGAATCTGGTTGCTGAGTGGCAGTGGAAGCAGGATCATTGTTGAGGGTGTGGGATTGTCTATCCATGAGTTGTCTGAAAGTCCATTTTTCCTCCAGCCTATGTATCATAAATGAGGAATTGTTTGTGAGGGATATCACTCCCAACAAGACTCAGAATGCATTTTCCACCCAAGTGCCCACACCTCCCTTCATCACTGGGCCCACCTTCTCTCAGGAGAGGCAGAGAATGGAACAAGTCTTCTCCACCCCATCTGGGATGAGCTTCTAGTGGTCTCAAAAGTGAGTGACGGGTGTTCGTGGGGATAGGAGGGAGTTGGGAGGATTGCATAGTGGGAACTTACAGTAATTATTTTATATATTTCCTTTTTAACAAAAGTTCACATGTGAAAAAAAAACTTAATTTTTATGCTAGTACCTTGAGGTACTTAGTAAAACCCAGTTTTCCTACTGTATACACTGTTTTGATATTTTGATATTTCTTTCTTTTTATTAGCACAAATGTAGTTTCCTCTAAGTGTATGTTAAGCTACCTTATTACTGCTAAGATCTGTATATTAAGCAGTTAAATTCCAGTAGTCTATAAATATTATCCTATATAATAAAAGGTTAATATGCAAATTATCCCCTTGGAAATTCGACTGACTGGGAATTTGACCTCTCACTATGACGTGCACTGACCACCAGGGGGTGGCACAGAACAAAGGAAGGCCCCCAGCCAGTAGTTAACACCAAGGGGAAGGCAGGCCACGATTGGCCCTGATTGCCAGCCAGGCCTAGGGACCCTACCTGTGCATGAATTTCATGCACCAGGCCTCCAGTTGATAATTATTGGTCTTTTCACTGCATTTTCAGCATTACATGAGTGCCACCTAGTCTTTCTGGTGCATGCATCTTGGTAAATTTTCGATGGCAAGATTTAGCAGTGACATTGTAAGGCCAAAGTGTCTCCACTTGGTCCTAATGGAAGTCATCTGTCCACCCCCACCATAAGTGCTTTTAGTACAATGATGAGATGACAAACAAACTTAAAGTCCTTTCCTCGTTAAAAAGTGAAATCGGAGAGTGCAGAGATAAAAGGAAGTGGGTCCCAGGCTTTCAGCAGGGCAAAAAAGACATGTCAGGTGGCCTGGGGATGAATCTCAGTGCTCCTTGCTCTGCTGTCTTCACAATTCTCTCTCTTGACTTTTTCTAGATAAAGGACAAGATCCCAGAGGAGGGCTTCATGCAGAAACTTAGGACTTGTAAACAAAACCCGGGAAATGAGCCCTTAGCTGCTCTCATTTTCATCCTCATCATATTTGTTATAACTCTCTTGCAACCTGAGGCCGCATCCATGACTAAGGTTGAAGCCGGATTGACCATGAATCCAAACTTTACCTGAAGCCAGCCAATTGTTCTGTACTTTTCCCACTCAAGATCCCTGTTTATATCCATATTAAAGAGTTACATTGCACTTTGTATGTTTTGTGTCTTGGATTGCTCTTCCCTTGTCCCAACATGAGCCACCAGGGCCAAGACCAGAAGGTCCAGTCTTCCCCTTCATTCATGGCAGTCTCTAGAATTTATATTAGGCATTTGCAGAGCTTGAAAATTATAGAGTAGGGACTCCATTCCTGGACTACATTAAAACCCAAGCTTTGCTCCCTGTACCCTGATAATTTCTCTACCATTTCAGAGTAACTCACAAGCTGTGATGCTCATTTCTATAAACAAACTTAACACCTTTATCAAGTAGAGTGCCATATTCATTGCAGTATGTATGAGATTCTTGATCATTTCACTGGTCTAAACCTATGCTAAACTTTCTATTAGCTTCTTATATCTAAAGTGTCACTGACATAATTTAGAGTTGTGTACTTAACCTATTTCTCCCCTCTATGTTTCTTTATCTTCTTTATTTCGAAATATTCATTGATTTACCACAAGTTTCAAAAATTATGCATGGAGGTCATGTATACCCTCCACCACCTTGCAACAATGACATCTTGCATTACTATAGCATTATATCAAAAGAGGAAATGGCTCTTGGTACAGTTCATAGAGCTTACTGAAATTTTATCAGTTTTACATGTACTTTTTTCCATGCACTTTTACCAGCCATATAAATAGATTCTATAACTCACCACAAACAAGATACAAAACTGTTTCATCACCACAACTTCCCCTCATACTACCCATCATACCGGAACAAGCTTCTCTTGGCCCCATATCTTAATCTCTTTCAAACACTTGTAATTTTTAAAATGTCATATAAATGGAATCTTCTAGTGTGCAACCTTTTGGAATGGGTTTCTTTCACTTTGCATGACTCCCCTGAGTACCATGCCAGTATTGATAGTCTGTTCTTTTTTATTGCCGAGTAGTATGCCATGGTATGCATGTACCCTGGTTTGTTTAACCATTCACCGTCTGGGCTATTTTCACTTTGTAACTATAATAATAAAAGGGTAGTATAGTAATTAGACCAGACAGCTGAATGACCTTCCGGACGTCAAAACGTCCTTCCTGACAAAGCCAGGGCCTGGGGGAAGCAGCCTGGGGTCCCAGGTGCCTGCGGCCGGCCTGGGGTAAGCTGACCCCTGTCCCAGGTGCCTGCGGGTGGCCAGAGGGAGGGAAGCCTGGGTCCAGGATGCCAGAGGAAAGCCAGTGCTGGCAGCGGGGGGAAGAAAGGCCTACTCTTGCACAAATTCTCATGCGTCGGGCCTGTTTCTAACTATCTCTCTCCCTTCCTCTCTGTACAAAATCAATAAAAAATATTTTAAAAAAACAAAAACAAAACATCAATGAGAGAGAGGCATCGATCAGCTGCCTCTTGCACACCCCCTACTGGGAATATGCCTGCAACCAAGGTACATGCCCTTGACCAGAATCGAACCCGGGACCTTTCAGTCCCCAAGCCTACGCTCTATCCATTGAGCCAAACCGGTTTCGGCTCCTTCCACACTTTTCATGGTTTCAAACAAAACTGCTGCTTGAGTGATACCACAGTTCCTTCTGCCATCCTCCCAAATCCCCTTCTCCAGACTCTGCCTGGCTCATCACAATTTAGCGTGCATATGTTCAATCTATGTAATTCATTCACTCATTCATTCAACACATTTATTGGTTAATCTTACCTAATAAAAGAGAAACATGCAGAGAAACCAAGATGGCGGCATAGGGTAGACACCCAAATGTAGCCTACTACAACAAAATTTAATTTAGAACTGGAAAGCAGGGGAGGCATTGCCCCAAAGCGCCTGACAGCTAGCTGAGAGGAGGCTCTACCATCTGGGAAGGAAAGAGAAGGCACGCTGAACCTCAGGAACTGTGAAGGTACGGAAAACTGTGTGCGTGAAAAGGCACTGGCTTACTCCTGGCATGTGGAAAGGAAGGGCCGGACCGAGATTGCTGCTGGCTTACTTCCTGCACGCAGAGAGGGCGGGCCGGGCTGAGTTCCCTACTAGCTTACTTCAGGCGCGCAGAGAGGGCTGACAGCTAACATGCGGCTGGCTTTCTTATTTGAGAGGAAAACAGAATCACCCTATTGCTCTGATAGACGGCCTCAGTCAGGGAGAGGCCAGATTGTCAGGCAGCGGGCAGAGATCTCTTGGAGGTGTGTGAAACCAGAGGCCATTACTGTGGGACTTGGGGAGGAGCCGACGGGAAAACAAAGCTTGTCTGCACCAGCCTGACACTCTGCCCTACCTGTGGCTGAGCACAGAAGCCTTCCCGGAGGCTGGCTTTCTCTAAGGAGGGACTGGCCAGAATCCAAAGCTTGTCTGCGCCTTTATCAAAGAGGTGTGAGCGCCTGCAACCAATCTTACAAAACTCACCGCGAACAGGACTTTTCTAAGGCGAGACTGACAGGGAACCAAAGATTGTCTGTGTCACCCCGAGACCCTGCCCCATCCAAGCGGAGTTACAGAAGCCCTCCTAGCTGAGACACTGCTGATCCTCACAGCAAATTGGCTTGGAGATCAACGCTTCCCAGTGATACCAACAATAAGCAAGGCTTAACAACAAGACTGCACACACAGCCCACAAAGGGCTACACCAAGACTGTCCACCGCAGGTAACTGGGAAGGCTGTGCTACAGGGCTCTATCAGAACACCTAGCACACAAAGCTATCCTATCAAGTCAGGGAAACAACTAAAATGCAGACAAGAGGCAGGACACAAAGGAAGAAGATGGAGGAAAAGAAAAGACTGGACATTAAGTTCAAAACTACAGTTATAAGGTTATTCAACAATATCCTAAAAAAGGCCGATAAAATAAATGAGACCTATGAGGATATGAAAAGGGAGCAACTAGAAATAATAAGGGATCAACTAGAAATAAAGAAAACCTTGTCTGAAATTAAAAAAAATATTACACAGAGTCCTAAAAACAGACTGGAAGATCGCAAGAATCAAGACAAAGATTTAGAACACAAAGAGCCAGGGGATAGTCCTCCACAGAAGCAAGAAGATGAGAGAATCCAGAAAGTTGAAGATAGTGTAAGAAACCTCTGGGACAATTTCAAGCGAATTAATATCAGAATTATGGGGGTCCCAGAAGAAGAGAGAAAGATACCGAAAGAATACTGGAAGAAATAGTGACAGAAAACTTCCCCCACCTGGGGAAAGAAATAGACTTACAAGTCCAGGAAGCCCGCAGAACCCCAAACAAAAGGAATCCAAGGAGGACCACATCAAGACATATCGTAATTAAAATTCCAAGAGCAAAAGACAAAGAGAGAATATTAGACGAGATCGGGCGCGTTCAGGGTGGTATGGCTGTAGACGCCAAAGAGAGAATATTAAAAGCAGCTAGAGAAAAGCAGGTAGTTACCTATAAAGGAGCACCCATACGATTGTCAGCTGATTTCTCAACAGAAACCATGCAGGCCAGATGGGAATGGCAAGAAATATTCAAGGTGATGAATAGCAAGAACCTACAGCCAAAAATACTCTACCCAGCAAAGCTATCACTCAGAATTGAAGGACAGATAAAGAGCTTCACAAATAAAAAAACAGCTAAAGGAGTTCATCACCACCAAACCAGAATTATATGAATTGCTGAAGGGGGTTCTTTAGGAAGAGGAAGAAGATAAAGATAAAAATTGTGAACAACAAATATGTATCTATCAACAAGTGAATCTAAAAACCAAGAGGATTAAAAAAATCTGATGAACAATATTAACTGTTGAATATAATAGAATCAGAGGTATGGAAGGGAGTGGGCTGACGATTCTCGGGGAAAAGGCAAGTGGGGGTGGGGGAAGAGACTGAACACAAACTGTGCACCTATG